CGAGCAGGATGTCCCATTGTGAAGAGTATGGCAACGTGAAGGAAAAATGCCGGAACTCCATGGGTGAGGACATTTCTTCCCACAGCTTCTGATTAACATCGGTACTAAATATCAGCATCAATGTACTTATTAAGGAGGCTTAAGTGCTGGTAAAGTATTAAAATAAAAACATATATGAGTGCTGGATAAAGCACTCATTTACCCACCACTCAGGAGGCTGAGGCAGGAGGATCTTTGAGAGCTCAAGGCCAGCCTAGGCCACAAAGTGAGCTCAAAGCCAACCTGAACCTGAATAGTGAGACCCTGTCTCAAAAGAAAAACAAAACCAAAACAACAACAACAAAAAGAAAACGTGAAAAGACCTAAGAGAAAAACACAAAACAAAACAAAATACAAGACAATTTTCCTAAACCATTTCCAAAACAATAAAAGTTTTAATTAGTTTTTATATTTCCTCATTTTAAGCCTGAAAATATAAAAACTATATATTGTATAGTTATTTAAAATAACACTGTATATTTTACATTTGTAAAGAGATTAGATAACTGATTATGAGATGTAGGCAGAAGATAATTGATCAAGATTTCTATACGAAGGGGATTAGAGTTAGAGTTCAGTTGTAGAGTGCAAGGCCCTGGATTCAGTCATTACTGCACATAAAAGCATTTCTTACATATGATAACATATTCTATTGTAAGGAATTCTGAAATCAAAGACTATTGAATACAATAGATGGTAACCTTCACTGGATACGATCAACTAGTTAGGAAACCAAAATTATAGAAGGCCATTATGGCTGTTTCGAATTGTCTCAGTTCTAGGTACATCTTAGTTACAGAGAAAAATAAAGTGGAAAGAGAACTTGGAAATCAATGATGTATCTGGTTATCTCGTGAGCTGTACATTTTTAACAGAAAGAAGGTGCAAAGAAATAACTGAAAGTTTATTACTTATTAGAAAATCTATAGACAGATTTAGATTCCTTGGATGCTATCATTAAGAGGTACATTCTATTTTGAATCATTTTAATGATTTGACAATGTTTTCATGAGTTTTATTTTACTAGTAACCACAAAAAATGAATTTATCAATTGTAAAGTAAGACAAAATCCAAAGTCATACTTCTGTCTTTCTTCTAAAGAAATGTAAGACTTCGATTTTTGGCATTTTGAAAGTCATTTCTAAATTTCCAGTAACATCTTGAATCCAGTAATTATATTAAATTGATGAATGTGCACATCAATATTTTTAATCCTTATGACATAAACCACTTGTTCTTGATTTTTTTTTTGTTTTGTTTTGTTTTGTTTTTCTCCAGTACGGGGAACCGAACTCACGACCTTGCACTTGCCAGGCAGACGCTTTGCCGCTGAGCTAAATCCCCAGCCCCTGTTCTTGATTTTTAAAACTTCATTATTCTGAGTACTGAGTTAAAACAATGTTCAAAAGCATTAGACATTACCGTCTCAGCTTTTCTGATGTGACTGCATATAAATAGCGGCTAATATCTTGGGCTAACTCTCATGACTTCATAGGAGGTAAATATAATCTGGCATAGTAAAGTATGTTTTACCTAGATTCTGTCTCTCATGTGGAATTTGCCAGCTAAATATGCATGAAGGATAGTCACATTCTCCTGTCTGCCCCCAGATGGCATAAATGACCTTTGCTTTTTGTATAGACTGAAATGAGTTTTCAAAGAGACAGAAAAGACGAAGAAAGGGAGGGAGTGAGGGAGAGAGGGAAAAGGATGGAGAGAGTTGTTTTATGCCAAACCACAGCATTCATTCTACAGCCCATGAATTAGGAAGTAATTTATATTCCAATTCTTATCATTTAAGAAACATTTCATTAAGCTATAGCTGCCAGAGATAATGACTCTGCAGGTGGTTCTGGGCAAAGTAAATTGAAATTCTGTAAAGACTTCACTATTCTGGATACTATCAAGAATTTTCATAGGGCCCGGGGATGTAGCTCAGTGGCACAAGCACCTGGCTGGCAAGCACAAGGTCCTGAGTTTGATTCCCGGTACCATATGCACACGTGCACACGCGCACACACACACACACACAGAATATTCACATCTAGCTACTTGGGAGGCTGAGACAGGAGGATCACAGGTTTGAGGCCAACCTGAGCAACTTAGCAAGACCATGTTTCAAAATAATAACTGGAAAAAAACAAGGTAATTTCTTATTCAAGGTAGGTCATCAATGTACCCACATGAACCATATTTTGTAAGAAGGTGATGCTGGCCCTTGTGGATGACTTTGAGGAGTTCAAGGTTTGAATGGAGGAAATAGCTGAAGATGTGGTAGACATAGCAAGAGAACTAGAATTAGAAGGGGAGTCTGGCCACCAAAACTGAGGCAATGAATTTCTGTGGTTTAAAACACCCAGTTTATGGTACTTGTAATACAAGAACATGATATATCCTTCCCCACTTATCTCCTAATTTATTTATGTTCTTTAATTTCTTTCAGTTATTCTTTGTAGCTTTCATTGTAAAGATCTTAGTAAGACCCTTTTTCAGATTTATTTCTTGGTATTTGATGTTTTCTGATATTTTAATTATACTGCTTTCTATATTATAATTTCCTACTTATTTGTATGGAGATACAATTGATTTTTAAATATGGTTTTTGTATCCAAAAAAGCTTTATCTTAAGAAATTTATTTCTTAAGAGTTTGTAGATTTGTTTGGATTTTTCTTCATACAAAATCATGTCATCTGCAAGTTATACTTGCCTTCCTGCCTCTCCAGCTTTGTTACACTGGTGAAAACTGTGTTACAATATCGAAAGAGTATTCCTTCTTTGTTCCTGAACTCAAGAAAAGTGTTTAATATTTCAGCACTGAATTATATGTTAGCTATAGGATTTTTATAGATATCTTTTACCAGGTGAAGAAAATCTAGGGTCTGCTTTTATACTATTCATTATGTTACATCAATCTGGTTTTTTATTAGTTTCTATTGTAGTTATTATAATAGTTATTATACAGTTTCACATTTTATAAAATAAATCTCCCATATTTCTTCACAAAACTCTTTCATGAATATTCTTGGTATATGGCATTTTGACTGAAATTACATCAAATTTTATAATTTATTTGATGAAAGCTTTTATCTTCATATCTAATAATTATCTAGGAGCATTGATTTAATCCACTGTAAATTTTCTAATACATATTTTTCATACATTTTGCACATATCTTGAAGATTATGAAATGTCTTATATGTACATACAAAAATATTACATACAATATACATATTACAATGTAAAGAAAAATAAGAAATTGAATAGCCCTGCCTAACTTTATAAAACATTATCTTGCTTTGCCTTTTTGTATTAGTCAGATTTCCCATCACTGAGACAAACAAAATACCTGACACCCACAACTTAATACAGAAAAAGTTTATCTCGGCTCATGGGTTCAGTGGATTCAGTCCATGGTTGGCTGGTGTCAAGGCAGAAACAGCATGGTGAAAGTCCATGGTGGAGAAAAGCTGCTCAGACCATGGAGGCCAGGGAGCAGAGAGAGAAGGGATGAGCCAGGGTTGAGAATACATTCTTCCAAGTCACACCTCTAGTGACCCACCTCTTCCAACCAGGCCTTCACCTTCAAACATGAAACTTTTGGGGGACATTTAATTCTATACTCAACAGTAGTGCTAGGGATCATACCTACGGTATTGTACCAATGAGTTACACCTCCAGACCCTACTTTGCCTTTGAAATTTTCTCCCTAATTGACATCCTCCTTTCTTTTCACTGTCATTGGTCAAGTCCACTTTCTCATCTACAAATGAGAAGAGATTCAGGAAGAAAAATCTTAGAGGACAACTGAGATCTGAAGTCATATGTGTGATGCTTTTTGATGCTGAGAAAAGACACAATGTGCTCTGGACTGTATTAATAATTGGCTTAAAATATATGATAGTGAAAAAATTACATGCGCTTGGTAGCACAGGAAGAATAGCATTAAAATATTTTCTTAATCCCAGCCATTTCCCTGTGATTAGGATTATGAAGTGAAAAGCTGCAGTCTAGATTCCAGCGTGGGAACAGATGCCTGGCAGAATCAGTGCACATACCGGGTGAGCAACATCACAGGCAGTGAGTCTGGAGTTGAAGTCCCTGAGGAAGGTCCCTGTTTCATTCTAGTGGGCTTCCTGCCTGGAGGAGTAGGGCAGCCTGACTCTGACCAGGTAAGAACCACACTTTTGTCCTGAACCGATTCAGGCTGGTGGCACGGGAACTGGTGCATGCTGGAGTGTGCAGAGAGGCATAACAAGAAAACACGGCGGCTGCTGTCTGGAGTTGCCCAGTTGTCACGTTGCCCGATTGTACCCATCTTGGTGTTCTCTCCCAGTCTGTTTTTGCTTGCTTTTCTCTCATTATTGCCTCCTTTCCCCCTTCTCCATCTTATCTGATAGCTATTTTACCTCCAAATTCCTGGGCTCACTCTGAATTGTAGTATAAGGCCCACACCATTGTTTGTGATCAGTGGCCTTTTCAGACAGACAGAGGAGGGGCAGGGGCAAGGAGACTTGGGGATGCATCAGATGGGGGTCAGTCAGGAATCCTGGGTGCTGGTTCCAGCCTTGCCTGTGACTGCCTTTCTTGCAGGGTGTGGGGAGGAGCTGACTACAATGAGTGGATGAACCAAATTCCTTGGAAGTGATACCAATCCTCTTAGCAAGCAGTAGCCCCATCTTCTCTTAGACATCCAGACCCAGTAGGGATGTTTTTCTTTCACTGAGCCATCTGGCACTTACTAAATACCTCTGCTGTGGTGGGCATACATTTGGGTCAGGGACAGGGTAACAATCCCCTCTCTGGGATGGAAGGGGCAGAAGCATCATGTGTGGACAATCCATGTGATAAGTGCTCTTGTAGGCTTTTGTGGGTGAGAGAACATTTGTGGAGAGTCTGGTAGGAGACAGGCAAATTGGGATGGAGGTTTGTCCGGCTACCGTAACAAAACAGACTATAGACTGAGGAGCTTGAACAACAAAAGTTTAATTTCTCATAGTTCTGGAGTCAGGAAGTCTGAGATCAGGATGCCAGAATGGTGCCAGGTACCATTCTGGTAAGGATGCTCTTCCTGGCTTGCAGGTAGCTACCTATTTGCTGGGCACTAACATGCTGGCGAGAGGACTGTCAGGGAGAGCAGGCTGTGTGGTGTCTCCTCTTATAAAGACACGAATCCCATCAGGGAAGCCCCCATCTTCATGGCCTAGTTACCTCCCAAGGGCACTGTCTCCTAACACCATTCTAGGGTGCGGGTTAGGGAAATTTATTAATTAGAGGAGGGGCAGATGTGTGTTACAAAAGAAGTGATGTCAAGATGTATGTGGGGAGTAAAGCAGGGTTTCCTTTAAGGCTGAAGGAAAATTTGAGTCAAAACAAGGAGCCCGGAATCAGCATCACAATTTGGGGGAACCAGAAGCCGTTCAATATGGTGGGATGCAAGGGCAGCTATTAAAAGTAGTTAAAATGAAAACTGGGCTGCTGGCTCCCACCTGTAATCCTCGCACTTGGGAGGCTGAGGTAGGAGGATCACTGCAAGTTTGAGGCCAGCCTGGGCTAAGCAGTGAGCCTGAACTAAGTACATAGTGAGACCCTGTCTCAAAAAAACCAACCCCTCCCAAAAGTAGTTAGAGGTGAGGCTGAAGATAATCCATGCGGCATGCAAAGGAACTGTGAACCAGGAGTTTGAACCTGAGAATTTGTGCTTCTCCAAACTGACTGCCTCAAAATTACCCTGCAAGCTTATTAGGAAATAGATTCCTGGGGCTTCTAACCTATGCAGTCAGAATCTCGCTGAGTGAGACCTTGGGATCAGCCTTTCTCCGGTGCCCTGGGAGAGTCCTCATGAGCGCTCGGGGCCCTGGAACCACAGGAGAGCCATGGGTGAGCTTCAGGCAGCACAGATGCAGGTGCACGGTAGTCCAGTCCTGAATTCTTCTGCTCCTCTGCTGAAAGAAATGACAGGGGCCTGAGCAGAGACCGCCGGACAGTGAATAATATCCCTGGCAGCTGCTGCTGGGGTGAGCACACTTCCTTGCGCCAGGTGCCCATTGGTGAGACAGGAGCCACGAGGAAGGCAGGCTTCCACCTGGACAAGCTACTTTAGGACATTCAGCAGAGGCATGGCAGAGGTCGCCCCGCCCCCGCCCCATGCCTGATCCAATGGGGGCTATAACCACGTGACCCTGAAGGACCCGACCGTCTCTCACACCTCTCCCTGCATCCTAAGTAAAGGCTGATTTCCACACCTTGTATGGCTCCTCACGCCAGAATGCGTGTGGAGGAGGCCTTAGGAGGGCGGGGCCAGGAGAAGTCAGAGGCTTCCTGGGATCGTGGGTTTCCTTAATTATTCAGTGGAAGAATCTACTTACCATGTGTCATTTTCCTCTTGTATTTCTCTCCAAAAGACAGTAACAAAAGTCTGATCTATAAGCAAATAGTGGTCTCTCAACCCAGAAATGCGCAGGCTCGAGGACCACCTCCGGGGGCTCCTACGTCACAGTCGGGGCTCCTGAATCAGACCTTCACCGCGGTGTGCAGCCTCCTCCCTCGCCTTGCCGCTGGGTTTCAGGTTTGCCGTGCAGTGTACATGCGAATCTCTCGGCATGAAATGCCGCCTTCCACCCCTACCCCTCAGTCTGCTCATTCTCTGAAACCCAATTCTCTGTGATAAACTTCCCATCGGACACACACCTCAGTCTAGCTATTCCTGTGAGCGACCTCTAGCACCCTATGCTAACACGGCTGGGAGCACTTACACGGAGGTTTAAGCACCTGTCCCGCTCACCTTGCTGGGAAATCCCCAAGGGCAAGATCTGAAATTTTAAATGATGTTAAATTTTGTTCCCCAGTCCCTGACCTGCAAAAGGAGTTCAACAAATATCTGCTAAACCGACAAAATCCAGAAGAACAACAAGTGCCCCCTGACGAGTGGATGTCATGATAATTTAATAGCATCTTACTGAATTTGCTTCTTGGTCTCTTTAGAAGAGATGGCTTTTAAGGCCTCCGCACAGATATGATACTCCATCCCCCTCCTTGCAAAATGACACGTTTAACAGTAAACTGAAGGTATTTGCATCTCAAAAGGCTGAGGGGCAGGTTTCCCTTAAACATTAAACTTTGCCTGGAACTTTCAGAAACCTGCCTTACAGATCATTAACTTCTAGGAGAGGGTGGGAGCTGAGTCATGGGAGAAAATAGTTTTTGGAGTCAGCTTTCAGAGCTGCCTCTGAAAAAAGGAAGAAAGGCAGAAAGTCTTAGAATCAGGGTGAATTCCGTTCGGATTCTAGCTCTATGAGCTATGTGGCCTTGGCAAATCATTTAGGTTCTCTGTATCCCAGGTTTGTCTATACCTAGTGTGGAGACTCACTAGTCTTATTTTTTCAGGGTAGTAGACACGAAAAGATCTTATGTGAAGGACCTTAGTGGGGGAGAGGCACCAGTAATCCTAACAGTCCTGTTGTTATGCTTCCTGTGGCCCTCGGGGAGGAGTCTGGTGTGGGTTTCAGGATTTTACCATGGACAACAGGAATAAGGAAGTTGAAAAGGACCCAGAAAGGAAGGGCCAGACTGCTGTGGCAGCACAGTTCGAGTATCACAGCACTTCATGACTTTTCCATTAATTTTTTCAAAAACGAAGGCTTCCTGTGTTCAGCATGCAGATACGGCGGACAGCACTGTGCAGTTTGTTGACTGGGGGTCTTGGACTCTGGACCTGCCATTTACTAGCCCTGTGTCCTTGCACACGCCTAGGACAGTAATGCAGAACTTTTAGAGCTTTCAATGATAACAAACCAGCTGTGGCATGCGTGCCATAGGTTTGCCACCACTGACTCAGTTTCCTGTCTGTAGGAAGGATACAACACTGAGATAATGAGTATAAAGTACTAAGCCCAATGCCTGGTATACTGTACATCCTCCAAGGACCATATCAGTTTTGTACTATATTGTGATGTGATCAGTACTAATAGAGCAGTAAATGCCTTGCCTCGGAGAACTGCTTGCTGTGGGAACACGAGGGAAGGGGTTCACACTCTGGAGACCACCTGTCACCAGCACTGTGCGAACTTGGGCCTGTTCCCTGACACAGAGGGTTTTCTTTGGATAATCTCTCAGATTCCTACACTGGCCTTGGGCCAGTTTTCTCACAGCTTCCCAACGCTCTCAGACCTGGGCATCCTTGCAGGCCCATCTGTGCCCCGCCTTCCACAGGGTAATCCTACTCTCTTCAGCCCCCTCAAAAAACCTTTCCCCTCCATGGCCTACTCAGGCACTTATCACACTGGGGGTCTTTCCTATTGCTGGGCCTGTCATCCAGATGATGACCTGATGCACAAGCACCCCCAGCCCCTGAGTGAAGCCTGCTGGCTGGAGGAAAGGTGAATTAGCACTTCCTTTTTCTGTAGAGATTTCTGAATCTCCTGGGCTCTCTCAGTTTCTACCTTTTGTGGGAAAAATAGATTTGGAAATAGGTGAGAGGTGGGTGGAAGGAGAGAGCCCCAACTGTTTGGGTCACAGCAGCAGGACAAACCCTTTGCTTCTCTTTCTCCCAGAACCAGAGAAGGTGACACGGTCTATTCTGATGTCCCCAGGACCCTGAGAACCGACCCCTACCCAAGGGGCTGCGGTAGTGCAGGCATCAGGGTCTCCTGGCAGACGGGTCGGGCGGACACACATCCACTCCGGGTTATCCCCAAGCCTCTGCAAAGGCAAGCCAATGACTTTGACCTTGGAGAAAAGGCGCCTAGGGCGATGGGGACGGCCCCACAGAGAAATCCGCAGATTCCTCCGAAAAAGTTGTCCAAACAAAGGGCATTCCTGGGCTTCCACCCGAAAGCGGGGCCGGGTGTAGAGTTACACGCGGCCGCGCTCAGGCTCGCTCCGAGCGGCGTCCGGGCTGCGCCCGCAGCTTCGGGCCCGCGGCGGCCCGTCGTCCCCATCCGCGGCCCGTCCTCGGGTCTCCTCTGCGCGCTCGA